ACGAATCAAAATGTTCTCAAGTTCCCTCTATGGTGTAGCAATAACAGGATTTTCTACTTTTTTTTTTTTTTTTTAAGACAGGGTCTCGCTCTATCACCTAAGCTGGAGTGCAATGGCATCACCTTGGCTCACTGCAGCCTCTACCTCCCAGGTTCAAGTGATTCTTCTGCCACAGTCTCACGAGTAGCTGGGACTACAAGTGTGTGCCACCATGTCCAACTATTTTTTTTTTTTTTTTGTATTTTTAGTAGAGACGGGGTTTCGCCATTAAGGCCAGGCTGCTCTCAAACTCCTGACCTCAGGTGATCCACCCACCTCGGCCTCCCAAACTGCTGGGATTACAGGTGTGAGCCACCATGCCCAGCCAGATTTCCTACTTTTAAAAGGCTACATAACATTCTGCTGTGTGTATATACCACATTTTCTTTAGCTATTCATCTATTGATGGATTTTTGAGTTGCTTCCACCTCTTGCATATTTTAAATAACACTGCAATGGACAAATGGATATGTAAATATCTCTTTGAGATCCTGCTTTGAAGTCTTTTGGATATATACCCAGAAGTGAGGTTTGCTGGGTCATCTGGTAATTCTATTTTCAATTTTTGGAAAAACCTCTATACTGTTTTCCATAATGGCTGCACCATTTTACATTCCCACCAGCAGTGCACAAAGGTTCCGATTTTTCCACATCCTTGCCAACACTTGTTATTTTCTGTTCTTTCCATGCTGGCCCTTTTCATGGGTATGCAGTGATACCTCACTGTGATTTTGACTTGCATTTCTTTTATGAGTAGTGAACTCGAGTATCTTTTTGTATCCTCCTTGGCCACCTGGGATCTTACTTTTTCTTTTCTTTTCTTTCTTTCTTTCTTTCTTTTTTTTTTTGAGATAGCATTTCATTTTGTTGCCTGGGCTGGAGTGCAATGGTGCAATTATCTGGGGTCACCACAACCTCCAACTCCCAGCTTCAGGCAGTTCTCCTGCCTTAGCCTGCTGAGTAGCTGGGATTTCAGGTGCCTGCCACCAGGCCCGGCTAATTTTGTATTTTTGGTAGAGACGGTGTTTCTCCACATTGGTCAGTTTGGTCTTGAATTCCCAACCTCAGGTGATCTGCCTGCCTCAGCCTCCCAAAGTGCTGGGATTATAGGTGTGAGCCACTGTGCCTGGCCCTTATTCTTTCTTTTTACATAGTGTATCATTTTCTATTCTTTTACTTTCAACCTATTTATGTTTTTGCAGTTAAGAGTTATCTATTGTGGATAGCGTACAACCAGGTCTTGGTTTTGGTTTATTTTAAGTCCAGTCTGACAATCTCTGTCTTTTCATTAGCATATTTAGTGTATTTATATTTAATATAGTATTTTTATTTATTTATTTACTTTTTTGAGGGGGAGACAGAGTCTTGCTCCATCCTCCAGGCTGGAGTTCAGTGGCATGATCTTGGCTCACTGCAACCTCCCCCTTCCAGGTTCAAGTGGTTCTCCTGCCTCAGCCTCCCGAGTATCTGGGATTACAGGTGTGCACCACCATGCCTGGCTAATTTTTTTTTTTTTTGGCTGAGCACAGGGGACTTTATTGATGGTACACGACAAGGTGGGGCTCCCTAGGCCCCTCCTTCTTCAAGGGGTCTGCATGGAAACTGTGAGGAGGGGCAATTCGGTGTGGTGAGGGACTCAGTGTGGCAGGGACTCCCCAGGAGTGAGGGCCTCTTTTCCTCTCGTGCTCTCGCTGGGGCTGGTGGTCCAGGGGTCTTATTCCTTGGAGGCCATGTGGGACATGAGGTCCACCACCCTGTTGCTGTAGCCAAATTCATTGTCATACCAGGAAATGAGCTTGACGAAGTGGTTGTTGAGGGCAATGCCAGCCCCAGCATCGAAGGTGGAAGAATGGGTGTCACTGTTGAAGTCAGAGGACACCACCTGGTGCTCAGTGTAGCCCAGGATGCCCTTGAGGGGCCCTCCGACGCCTGCTTCACCACCTTCTTGATGTCATCATATTTGGCAGGTTTTTCCAGGCGGCAGGTCAGGTCCACCACTGACACGTTGGCAGTGGGGACACGGAAGGCCATGCCAGTGAGCTTCCTGTTCAGCTCAGGGATGACCTTGCCCACGGCCTTGGCAGCGCCAGTAGAGGCAGGGATGATGTTCTAGAGAGCCCCACGGCCACCACGCCACAGTTTCCCGGAGGGGCCATCCACAGTCTTCTGGGTGGCAGTGATGGCATGGACGGTGGTCATGAGTCCTTCCACGATACCAAAGTTGTCATGGATGACCTTGGCCAGGGGCGCTAAGCAGTTGGTGGTGCAGGAGGCATTGCTGACGATCTTGAGGCTGTTGTCATACTTCTCATGGTTCACGCCCATCACGAACATGGGGGCATCAGCAGAGGGGGCAGATATGATGACCCTTTTGGCTTCCCCCTGCAAGTGAGCCCCAGCCTTCTCCATGGTGGTGAAGACGCCAGTGGACTCCACCACATACTCAGCGCCAGCATCGCCCCACTTGATTTTGGAGGGATCTCGCTCCTGGAAGATGGTGATGGGATTTCCATTGATGACAAGCTTCCCGTTCTCAGCCTTGACAGTGCCATGGAATTTGCCATGGGTGGAATCATACTGGAACATGTAGACCATGTAGCTGAGGTCAATGAAGGGATCATTGATGGCGACGACGTCCACTTTACCAGAGTTAAAAGCAGCTCTGGTGACCAGGCGCCCGATACGACCAAATCCGTTGACTCCGACCTTCACCTTCCCCATGGTGTCTCAGGGATGTGGCTGGCGATGGGAGACAAGATGCGGCTGTCTGTCGAACAGGAGGAGCAGAGAGCCTAATTTTGGTATTTTTAGTGGAGATGGGGTTTCACTGTGTTGGCCAGGCTGATTTCGAACTCCTGGCCTTAAATGATCCACCTCCCTTGGCCTCCCAAAGTGTTAGGCATGAACTACTGTGCCTGGTCTCATTTCTTGTATTTTTGGTAGAGACAGGGTTTTACCATGTTGCCCAGACTGGTCTTGAACTTCTGAGCTCAAGCGATTAACACAACTCAGCCTCCCAAAGTGCTGGGATTACAGGTCACCACACCTGCCTATATTTAATATAGTTATTGATGCTAAGCTGTGACATCTTTGAGGGATCAGAGGGTAGATTCTGGTAGGCTGCTTAATGGCTGCCTGAGGATATCCACGTCCTATTCCCTAGCACTTATGAATATGTTGCCTTACCTGGCAAAAGAGATTCTGTAGATGTGATTATGGTTACTGCCCTTAAAATGGGGTCGTATATCCTATTCTGGATAATCTAGGTGGGCCCGATCTAATTACACAAATTCTTAAAAGGGGAGAACTTTTCCATGCCGGGTCAGAGAGACAAGATAGGAGGAAGAGGACAGATTCGAAGTGTGAGAGGAACTTGACTGATAATTCCTGGCTTTGGCTTTGAAGATGAAGGTAGGATGTCCCAAGCAAACGAATGCAGCACGGGCCTTTGGAAGCTGGGATGACCCTCACCTTACAGCCAGCGAGAAATCAGGGAACTCAGTCCTACCTGAGTGAACAGAAAGTCGGTTCTCCTCTGCAGCCACTAGAAAGAACATAGCCTGTCAACACTCTGGTTTTGGCCCAATGAGCTCTGTACCTCCAGAACTGTAATGTAATAAATTTGTGTTGTTTTAAGCCACTGAGCTTGTGGTTAATTTGTTATGGCACCAAGAGAAACTAACATGACACATAATTCTCTATATACTATTTTACCTCTTTCCAATTTTCTTTCTTTCTTTTTTTTGAGACAAGCTCTCCCTCTGTCACCCAAGCTGGAGTGCAGTGGTACTATCTCGGCTCACTACAGCCTCCACTCCTAGGTTCAAGTGATTCTTGTGTCTCAGCCTCCTGAGTAGCTGAGATTACAGACACCTGCCACCATACCCAGCTAATTTTTGTGTTTTCAGTAGAGACAGGATTTTGCCATGTTGGCCAGGCTGGTCTTGAACTCCTGGCCTCAAGTGATCCACCCACCTCAGCCTCCCAAAGTGCAGGCATTACAGGTATAAGCCACTGCTCTCAGCCCCAACTTTCCAGTTCTACTAGCCTCAAACTCTATTTTCTGTTAATTTCAAGTCAATCAAGCTGGAGCTGCTCATGGATTGGGTGTTGCCCTCAGGTAAAAAGCCACAAACTCACAAATCCCAACAATTTTCATTCATTTTTCAAGGTGGTCTTTCCTACATGTTCTGCCCTCTTTTAGTCAATCTCTAATGCCTTCATGTATTATTTTAAAAAATGCTTTGCTCAAGTTGTATAATTTTTATTTTGTTTTACTTATTTACTTTTTTTGAGACTCTCACTCTGTCGCCCAAGCTGGAGTGCAGTGGTGAGATCTCGGCTCACTGAAACCTCTTCCTCCCCGGTTTAAACGATTCTCCTGCTTCAGCCTCCCAAGTAGCTGGGGTAACAGGGGTGCACCACCACGCCCAGCTAATTTTTTTCTTCTTTTTTGGTATTTCTAGTAGATGGAATTTCATCATGTTGGCCAGACTGGTCTCAAACTCCGGACCTCAAGAAATTCGCCTGCTTGGCCTTCTAAAGTGCTGGGATTACAGATGTGAGCCACCGCGCCCGCCCAGATTGTATAATTTTTATTTGCAAGATTAGTCCACCGTTACCAAGAGCTGGAACCTCATTATACTCTCTGCCTACTTTTACATTTGCAATTTTCCGTAATTCAAAAAGACAAAAATTTTTTTTAATGCTCTGGTAGGATGTTTTAATTTTACTTATTAATCTGAAGCCTAAAAATGAGTTGCTTTCTCTTAATGTGACAGTTGAAATAAAAGAAAAGGAATAAAAAGGGTAGTTTTCAAAGCCTTTGATAGGGGAAAGAAAGACCCCAACCTTCCGTCCTAGGAGGGAAGGAATCCTTGCAGGTTAGTTCCACCACGTGCAGTTCCTCAGAGTCACCAGCAGGGGGAAAAAGTAGTTTTGCGTTTCCGATGGATCCCGGCGCCCGCTGCTAATTCCCCAAGCAAAGGGAAGCGAGGGGAGAGTGCAGAGTCCCCGAACAGCGTTCGCAGCAACTGGCCTAGAGGGACCACTCAGGGCGCAAAGGCCCCCGCGAAATAGAATATCCTTACGCCCAGCAACCCTCCCCTTGCGAGGCGCACGGGATAACTTGGCTGGAACTCCCCGCTGACGGCTCCGCCTGGGACTGAGGGCTGTAGCCGCCCAGAGCCTCCTCCAGGGCGCCGACCGCGGCGCGGGCAGCAGGGAGACCCAGTGTGGCCGCGCCCGGGACCTCAGGGGACCAGGTGAGCCCGCGCCCGCGTCCGAGTGGGATCCAGGTGAGCGTGCGCCCGAGTCCGCGGGGGACCAGGTGAGCCTGCGCCCGGGTCTGAGTGGAATCAGGTGAGCCCGTCCAGCGACTCCCGGGTCTGGGGCAGGGTCGTCGGGCTTAGGACTCAAGCAGTCAGTGGGCAGAATTGGTTGGGGCGGAGAACCAGGCGCGCTCAGGAAACAGGCGATGGGCCCGGGCACAGCCGTGTCTGCAAGGGCTGCGGTCGGGGGGTCGTTGAGAGGACCTGCTTCTACCTAGGGATTCACAGTACTAGTCATAAAAATAAACCCTGCTAATGAGACGGTGTGTGGGGAGGGGGTGGGAGGGTGATCACTGTGTTACAGCTGAGCATTAATAATTTCCTTGAGGACCTTGGCCAAACTCTTTGTTTTGTAGCCAGTGGAGAGCCTGGGTCCGTGTCCCTGAGTTCTGACTTAACTGCGTGGACAAATGATGAGAAACAGCCGTCACTTTAGGTGTTTTAAGAGAGTCAGTGTGTGCTGAAACAGTGAGTTAGAGAAATTGGAATCAGAAAGCAAGACCAGAAAGACAAGAAGCAGAGATATGGGAAGTCAAAAAAAGGAAACTGCCTGGAAATAAAGCCAGATGGGTCTGGCAGGAGGGCGGTCTTTGTTGACATGGGTCGGTGGATGTGATCACTGGAGTCAGAGGAGGTCACTGATTAAGAATCCGCTGGTTATCCTTGGTGTTTTAAGGTTACCATGGTAGGAATAAAACGCGTGCAGCCCATAGGCAACAAGTTTTGGCAAATGACCAAATAAGAGACAAACATTTAATTGGATTAGGAAATCAGTTGCAAAGTGCTGTGTTTTCTATGCTATGATGAACATTCAGAGCGGAATCTCTACAAAAACACTATGCATTAAAGATTAGATGTAGGATTAAGGTGTTGTAAAACAGTACAGTAAATTATTTACTTTTTTTTTTTTTGAGACGGAGTCTTGCTCTGTCGCTCAGGCTGAAGTGCAGTGGTGCAATCTCGGCTCACTGCAACCTCTGCCTCCCAGGTTCAAACAGTAAATTATTTACTCTTAATCTCAATAATACTATGTGTAGCAGTAATACTCTAATTACATGTAAGTATATTTCAAGAAGGTGTCCATTTGTTTTAGACAACTAATTACTAGTTTAAAATAGATGGGAATATAAAACATTCTGATAATTTGAAATACAGGCTACAGTCAAGTAAAACATTTGCAAAACCATACATGAGAATGAGTAAAATAATAGCATAGGCCGGGCGCGGTGATTCATGCCTGTAATACCAACACTTTGGGAGGCCTAGACAGGCAGATCACAAGGTCAGAAGTTTGAGACCAGCCCTGCCAATATGGTGAAACCCCGTCTCTACTAAAAATGCAAAAATTAACTGGGCATGGTAGTGGGCATCTGTAGTCCCAGCTACTCAGGAGGCTGAGGCAGGAGAATCACTTGAACCCAGGAGGCAGAGGTTGCAGTGAGCCGAGATTGCACCACTGCACTCCAGCCTGGGTGACAGAGCAAGACTCCCTCCCAAAAAAAAAAAAAAAAGCATAGTCAAGTTCAGCTAGTTTTCAAAAGAAATATAGAATGCTACTCTTTCCCTGTTCTTGTACTTGAGGGTTGAGGGGCTGTTTGTTGCTGCAGGCTCACGTTTGTGTTTCCAAGTCAGGCCTGCAAAACCTGACCGTGCATCCCACATCTCAATTTACCCAGTTCTAGGGTCCTTCTATGCACACCTGTGAAAAGACATCTTAATCTTGTGGTTTAAAACTTGCCTATACTGCTTAGTGTTTTTAAAAATTTGGAAAGGGGAGGAAAAGTCAGGTTACCCTTCCATGAATCAGACACAGCAACTGAACCTCAATTGTTGGGGAGGGATTGTTGGCTGAATGAAAAAACAAGGTGGGAGGCAGGAGGGGTGGATATGATGACCTCATTTGAACTTTGCATGCTATTTCTTTGGTGAGGAGTTTAGAACAAGTACTCAAGCTTTGTTTTGGTGGAAAGACATTAATTGCATTTTCTCAAGCAGTGTTTGTACAGAAGTATTAAGGAGCTTCCTAACACTTTCTCATAAGCCCCCAGGAACAGATTCATTGTACCTTAGAGGCAAGGTACTTGTCAATAAACCTTTAGCTTGAGGCTTGCTCTAATATATTTTATATGACTGTAATGGAACTTAGCAATTAATCAGAATATGAGCTTCTCATTATATTCTTAAAAAATACAATGCATCAGCAAATGAAATTCCTTCTGTTAGTTGTTTACATTTGAGCCTGTGCCCACTGTGTTTTGTATGGTGGACAAACCAAATACTCTTTGTGTAAGTAAGATAGAGCTTTATCTTTTTTTCCAATGTGTAGACATTTGGTAAATAGGCAATCATTGGTGGGTGTGGCAGCTCCTCTATCTCATCAGGAACCTGGACTCCTCTCTTCTCTGCTGTCCTTAGTGTGTAGTTCTCATCTTTCAGGCTGCCTCATGGTTGCAAGATGACTGCTGAAGTTCTAGTCATGACACCCACATTCTAGGCAAGAAGGAAGAAAGGGAGAGGCAGCTGAATACAATTTAACAACGTCCATTTAGTAGAATGTAAAGATGGCTGCCAATAATTTGTGTAGGCTTAAGTCACTTTTCCTATCAAGGGGTATAGTCTGTTTTCTTTTTTAGTCAGAGTTGACCCTTTGACTTGCTTTGACTAATAGAATGTACTGGAAGGCCTTACTAGGCTTCGCTGCTTCTGTTTTCTTGGGATCAAGCTGCCATGTAAAGAAGCTTAGACTATCTATCTATCCATCTATCTATCTATCTATCCATCCATCCATTCATCCATCCATATAAAACCAGAGTACAATAGTGTGAACACAGCTCACTACAGCGTTGACCTCCTTGGCTCAGGCGATCCTCACCTCAGCTTCGATGGTAGCTGGCACTGCAGGTGCACTCCACCATGCCCAGCTGATTTTTTGTAGAGATAGGGTTTCACCATTTTGACCAGGCTGGTCTTGAACTCCTGGGCTGAAGATCCACCTACCTCGGCCTCCCAATCCTGCTAGTATAACAGGTGTGAGCCACCACACCTGGCCCAGACTAAACACTGAATAATGAACAACGATGTAAAGAGAGGCCTAGCCAGTCCCCAGCTATTCCAGGTACCCCAGCTGAGGCATAAGTCATGTGCATGAAGCCATCTTGGGTGTACTAGTCCCAGTCAAACTCCACTTGATACCATGTGGAATGTAAGAACCACCCAGCCGAACCTGGCCAACTTATAGAAAAGATCAGAAATAGTAAATCATTGCTGAATTGTGCCAAAACACAATTAATTGGCTTGCTGCCTCCAAATGCCAGATGGTCAATAAGCGAGGTTCATTAACTGAGCTCTTTGCCATACTAGACATGTTATGAGTCTGTTACTGTAGAGGAAGAGAATGGCTGTCTGGGATGGGGGGAATGGTTAACAGTGGCCACAGTTACCAGTCACATGATGGCAGCTTGGGACAGAAAAGGCACCTCTGGGACCTCAGAAGCAGGGTCCTATGGGAGAGTTCCTCTCTTGCTTTGGCATTAATAGGACTGGGCCACCCACAGGGGCTGTGCTTTTGTGTCCTGCCTCGGCCCTTCCTCTGCTTGGAAGCTTCTGCTGCCTCACAGTTTCTGTGCCTGCGTGACCTCAGGCCCCGCTCTGTGTACACTGTGAGCTCCCAGTTCCCGGCTGCTGCCAGGTAGCCTAACTCCTGCTCTCAGAGAGGAAGTCAAATCATATCAGCTCCGCTGTTTAGTGAGGTCACTGCAAAGGTCATCTCTGGTTTCTGGATTGACTGCACAACCCTTATTGAGGCTCTGGCAGGAGAGGGACCTGGCTTCATGAGGGTTTTGCCAATAACTAGGGTTGTGGGAAGCACAGGCTCTCTTGGGGGCACCATGCATGTGGCAACTAATGTTGTCTTCCAGGTTTTTGAGCAGGAGTGAGGCAGGGAAGGAAGACTGTGTGACATGTTGGATTTGCCTTGAGCTCTAGAAGAACTACCTCACTTTCTGCCTGTGTGACTTTGAGCAGGTTTTACAGAACTTTGCCTCAGTTTTCTTTGCCTCAGTAAAATGGGGTGATTGGTACCCACTTCAGAAGGGTATTGTGAAGATTAAATGAAAGAGTGTGTGTAAAACACATAGTGTGTGCTCACTAAATGTAGCCATTATGTTACTATTTTGTTTTAACTTAATACGCAACTATTTGTCTCTTTTGTAGAACCAGTGTTTCTTTAAAAGTTAGCCATCAAACAAGTTGTATTTTCCCATAGATGTCCATTATACAATTGAGAATTCTTTCTAAGTAAAAAGTTTATTTTCAATCATATTACATCATTTGAAAACTTCTTTTAAAATAATGCAAAAATTTTTTCAAAATCATGACTCAAGAGGGAAATTTACTGGTAATATACTAAAGGTAGCCAAAAGTCTCTCCATATTGTATACACCTGTTTTTTCTCTGTCTGGGGTGAGCAGGGGCTGTTTGGGAGTCTGGCTTTGTGGGATGCTCCTCTACTTATTTACTGTTTCACATGATCACCCAACGTGGAGTGAGACTTAGACTGCTTTCCTGGGGCAAGGGCAGCTTGAAAGAAAAAGTAGTGGGTGCTTTGGAAGACAGGCTTTCAATTCCTTCAAGGCTGCAACTTAACTCAAGGTATGTGTGATCTTCCTATGGTAAGCTTTTTAAAATTTTTGTAAAGTGGATTCTCTCACAATTGCTTATATAATAGCAATGGACAGGGATCTTACAAGTTACTGATGCATTTATTTGATATTTTTTCTAGTGTTTATAGTGAGCACAGATTTGCCACTCTGCTTATGGCATGCCTTTAAAATAACTGCTTGTATAACATATTACTTCCGTAAAGACAAATTCCTTGCAGAGGATTTTTTGCTTTTATTAGAATATCATGCTCTGTAAAAATGTAGGTATCACTATCATTTTTTCTTTTGTTTTTTCGAAATGGGATCTTGCTTTGTTGCTCAGGCTGAAGTATAGTGGTATGATCATTGTTCATTGCAGCCTTAAACTCTT